CAACTTCAGAACCCATTGACACTCTTTTAAATTAACCCCTTTATTATCGCTTTACGATTTCATGATTTCTTTTAAAACCCCACTGATAAACTTAATAGATTAAGAGACAGATAGTCTAAAATAAAAACGACTGTTTTTAGTTTGAGATAAGAAACCGGCAGGTGGTCACGTATTTTCTGGAGTGAGCTAAACATGAATGTAAAGTGTGGACATTTTTGAAATTCTTACGATAAAGATATAAATAAACTAAATGATTTGCATGAATGCCAAAAGAAAATTTTAATTTTTGTATGTTAAAAGATTTCCTATCAAAAATAAGTGATAATTAAAAAAAATCGCTTGATTGGCACCACAGCTTATCACCTAACGGTTTTTTTAGCGCTGCCATCTTAACAGTTTAACAATGATGCTAAATAGCTTAGCAAAAACCGCTTGTTTGTTTCAATTAACTAAAATGTGCAGCAAATTATTAAATTTGTACTTTTAATATAAAATTACATTATTTTTATTGTAACTAAACACATTTTTTACTTATTACCCTTTTATTTTCTTTACAGATCCTAGGCGTAGAAGATTTTGATGCCAATGGCATTTTGAATTCTTTAGAATCCCACAAAACTTCCGAACAAGATAATAATTCTGAAATTTTATCAGATTCCAGCAAAGAAAATGCCTTATCACCCTCTACCTCAACAACCAGCTCAACCGCCATCAGCTGCCCCACCCCAAAAATCTATAGTAAACCCTGCAAATTGTCTCAACAGGAACGGCAAAACAAACGGAAAAAGAAACGTACTTCGGGTCAATGTGACATCTGCAATCGTACCTTTAACGATCTCTACAATTTGCGTATACACAAAATGATCCATACGGGCGAAAAACCCTTCCAGTGTGAAGAGTGTGGTAAACGTTTTCGCCAGTACAATAAGCTAAAAATTCACTGTATTACGCATACCAATGAGAAACCCTTTAAATGTGATATCTGTGGTAAAGGTTTTCGTTTTCGCAATTATCTATCCGTACACAAACGTCTACATTCTGGGGAAAATCCCTATAAATGTAAATTTTGTGAAGAATATTTTCATTCTCTACACTCAAGACGTTTGCATACGAAACTTATACACACAGAGGCGAAAACTTTTACCTGCTCGATTTGTGGCAAAATCTTAACGGCTCAATGTTATTTGACAGCTCATATGAAAAGGCATACGAATCAGCGAGACTTTAAATGTGACAATTGTGGTAAATGTTTTTTTAGTCAATCACAACTTAAGGATCATCAATTGGTGCATACCAACCTAAAGCCGTTTGAGTGTAATGTTTGTCAGGCCCGTTTCCAGCGTAAATCGAATTATACACAACATTTGAAAATACATACGGGCGAGAAGTCGTATGTCTGCTCTATATGCAATAAATCTTTTGCCCAAAATGCCGGGCTATATGGTCATATGAAATCACATGCTAAATAAAAAGTCCTTTAAGAGAGTATTTACTGAAATTTTTAAGCTCTTTGCTGGAGAAAACCCAAACAAGTGCTTTTTGGGGGAAAAGTTGTCGGATATCACTGTTAAACAGTTAGAAGTGGCAACTCGCAGAAACTATCGTTTAAAATAAAGCAGTGATGTCAACTAAACGTTTTGAAAACGTCAACTGCGAGTGCAATCGGAGTAATTCATAATGAATTGAAGCGGAAGAAACTTGAGGAAAATAAAAATTAATGAACATAAAATTATATGATGGAAACAATATTGTTAAATTTAAAATCAAAATTTAAATAAATATTATTAACAAAAATATACTTCTACTATAACTTTAATTTATAGTCTAATCGATAGGCTAGTTCTTAGTCTATAGTCTGGTCTATAGTATAGTCTAGTCTATAGTGTAGTCTATATTCTAGTCTATAGTCTAGTCTATAGTCTAATCTATAGTCTAGTCTATAGTTTAGTCTATAGACTAGTCTATAGTCTAGTTATAGTCTAGTCTATAGTCTAGTCTATAGTCTAGTCTATAGTCTAGTCTATAGTCTAGTCTATAGTTTAGTCTATAGTTTAGTCTATAGTCTAGTCTATAGTCTAGTCTATAGTTTAGTCTATAGTCTAGTCTATAGTCTAGTCTATAGTCTAATTATAGTCGAATAGTCTATTCTATAGTCTATTCTATAGTCTAGTCTATAGTCTAGTCTATAGTCTAGTCTATAGTCTAGTCTATAGTCTAGTCTATAGTCTAGTCTATAGTCTAGTCTATAGTCTAGTCTATAGTCTAGTCTATAGTCTAGTCTATAGTCTAGTCTATAGTCTAGTCTATAGTCTATTCTATAGTCTAGTCTATAGTCTAGTCTATAGTCTAGTCTATAGTCTAGTCTATAGTCTAGTCTATAGTCTAGTCTATAGTCTAGTCTATAGTCTAGTCTATAGTTTAGTCTATAGTCTAGTTATAGTCTAGTCTATAGTCTAGTCTATAGTCTAGTCTATAGTTTAGTCTATAGTCTAGTCTATAGTCTAGTCTATAGTCTAGTCTATAGTCTATTCTATAGTGTAGTCTATAGTCTAGTCTATAGTTTAGTCTATAGTCTAGTCTATAGTCTAGTCTATAGTTTAGTCTATAGTCTAGTCTATAGTCTAGTCTATAGTCTAGTCTATAGTCTAGTCTATAGTCTAGTCTATAGTCTAGTCTATAGTCTAGTTATAGTCTAGTCTATAGTCTAGTTATAGTCTAGTCTATAGTCTAGTCTATAGTCTAGTCTATAGTCTAGTCTATAGTCTAGTCTATAGTCTAGTCTATAGTCTAGTCTATAGTCTAGTCTATAGTCTAGTCTATAGTCTAGTCTATAGTCTAGTCTATAGTCTAGTCTATAGTCTAGTCTATGGTCTAGTCTTTAGTCTAGTCTATGGTCTAGTCTATAGTCTAGTCTATCGTCTAGTGTAAAGTCTAGTTTATAGCCTGGTCTATAGTCTAGTCTATAGTCTAGTCTATAGTCTAGTCTATAGTCTAGTCTATAGTCTAGTTATAGTCTAGTCTATAGTCTAGTTATAGTCTAGTCTATAGTCTAGTCTATAGTCTAGTCTATAGTCTAGTCTATAGTCTAGTCTATGGTCTAGTCTATAGTCTAGTCTATGGTCTAGTCTATAGTCTAGTCTATCGTCTAGTCTAAAGTTTAGTTTATAGCCTGGTCTATAGTCTAGAAAAGTCTAGTTTATAGTCATTGTCTAGTCAATAATCTAGTCTATAGTCTAGAGAATAGTCTATATTATAGTCCATAGTTTAGTCTTTATTCTAGTATCTAATCGAGATTATAGTGTAGACTATAGTCAAGTATGTAGTATAGGGACTATAGGCTATAGTCTAGTCTATAATCTAGTCTCTAGTTTAGTCTATAGTCTTGCCTATAGTCTAATCTTATCTTCCGACTAGTTTATTGTCTATTTTATAGTTTAGTTCGTTTATAGTCCACCGCTTTTATAAAATCAAAGTTGACAACACTTTTTTGCCGAACCGTTATTTCTACCAGTTGACAGAAATGCCATACGTGTCAACAGCTGCTGCGTTTTAATTTAAATCTAAAAAAAAGTTGCAACTTACTATTTTGTTACTCTTTTTAGAAATTATAACAATTACTTGGTTTTTTATTTAATATTTTATTAGTTTTTTTGTTTACTTTTATTCCTTTAGCTTATGGATTTCATTTTTCAATAATAATTTCTGTTTATTTTTAATATTTATTTACTTTTCTCTTGTTTTACAATACAATGTTTTTTTACGCATATAGTTTTGTTTTATTTGGATTTCTCATTACATTATTATTAATAATTTTTAATAATATAAACTAATATTTTTTTAATTTTTCTTAATGACTTTTCTTCAATATATTGTAATAATGAATTTTATATGTTTTCTGTTTAAAGTTGACTTAATATTTGTTTTTTATGTATTTAAACTAAAATATGTTAATTTCTTTAGCATAAATATATATTTTTTCTGTTTTTTTTCAGTTTTAAATTGATTTTTTTCTTTTATTTTTTAATGTATAATATGTCTGTCTGTATATAATATATAAATTTGTTTTTTTTTTTTTTGTTAAATGTTTAATTTATTATTTTGTTGTTGTTTTTTGTTCAAAAATTTGTGACATTTTCTTTTCATTTATTTGTTTTTTTTTATAAAATATATAGATTTTATTTCTTGTGTTTATTTTAATATTTTGTAAATAGTAATGCGTCAATTAGCGCTTACATATTAATATTTATAAAAATAGTTAAATTTTTTCTTTAAGTGTATTTTTTACTTTTTTATTTAAGTTGATTTTTATGATTTAAAATATATTTTTATGTATAGAAAAAAAAAGAAAATTAATAAAATGTTTTAAAGAATTTGTGCTAGACTTAGACTAATCGATAGTCTAGTTTATAGACTATTTTATAGTTATAGTCTATAGTCCAGTCTATAGTCTAGTTTATAGTCTAGTTATAGTCTAGTCTATAGTCTAGTCTATAGTCTAGTCTATAGTCTAGTCTATAGTCTAGTCTATAGTCTAGTCTATAGTCTAGTCTATAGTCTAGTCTATAGTCTAGTCTATAGTCTAGTCTATAGTCTAGTCTATAGTCTAGTCTATAGTCTAGTCTAGTCTAGTCTAGTCTATAGTCTAGTCTAGTCTAGTCTATAGTCTAGTCTAGTCTAGTCTAGTCTATAGTCTAGTCTATAGTCTAGTCTATAGTCTAGTCTATAGTCTAGTCTATAGTCTATAGTCTAGTCTATAGTCTAGTCTATAGTCTAGTCTATAGTCTAGTCTATAGTCTAGTCTATAGTCTAGTCTATAGTCTAGTCTATAGTCTAGTCTATAGTCTAGTCTATAGTCTAGTCTATAGTCTAGTCTATAGTCTAGTCTATAGTCTAGTCTATAGTCTAGTCTATAGTCTAGTCTATAGTCTAGTCTATAGTCTAGTCTAGTCTAGTCTAGTCTATAGTCTAGTCTATAGTCTAGTCTATAGTCTAGTCTATAGTCTAGTCTATAGTCTAGTCTATAGTCTAGTCTAGTCTAGTCTATAGTCTAGTCTATAGTCTAGTCTATAGTCTAGTCTATAGTCTAGTCTATAGTCTTGTCTATAGTCTAGTCTATAGTCTAGTCTATAGTCTAGTCGATAGTCTAGTCTATAGTCTAGTCTATAGTCTAGTCTATAGTCTAGTCTATAGTCTAGTCTATAGTCTAGTCTATAGTCTAGTCTATAGTCTAGTCTATAGTCTAGTCTATAGTCTAGTCTATAGTCTAGTCTATAGTCTAGTCTATAGTCTAGTCTATAGTCTAGTCTATAGTCTAGTCTATAGTCTAGTCTATAGTCTAGTCTATAGTCTAGTCTATAGTCTAGTCTATAGTCTTGTCTATAGTCTAGTCTATAGTCTAGTCTATAGTCTAGTCTATAGTCTAGTCTATAGTCTAGTCTATAGTCTAGTCTATAGTCTAGTCTATAGTCTAGTCTATAGTCTAGTCTATAGTCTAGTCTATAGTCTAGTCTATAGTCTAGTCTATAGTCTAGTCTATAGTCTAGTCTATAGTCTAGTCTAGTCTAGTCTATAGTCTAGTCTATAGTCTAGTCTATAGTCTAGTCTATAGTCTAGTCTATAGTCTAGTCTATAGTCTAGTCTATAGTCTAGTCTATAGTCTAGTCTATAGTCTAGTCTATAGTCTAGTCTATAGTCTAGTCTATAGTCTATAGTCTAGTCTATAGTCTAGTCGATAGTCTGGTATATAGTCTAGTCTATAGTCTAGTCTATAGTCAAGTCTACAATATTGTCTTTAGTCTAGTCCATAGCCTGGTATATAATCTAGTCTACATTTTTGTACATAGTCTAGCCTATAGTCTAGTCTATAGCATAGTCTATAGTTTAGTCCATAGTCTGTCTGGTCTAGCTAGAACATAGACAAGACTATAGAGTCTATATTACAGCATATAGTGTAGTCTAAAGACTAGCCTAAAGTGTAATGTAAATACGAGTCTATAGTCTAAATTTGCCTAGACCTTTCTTTAAATTACGAATTGTCAGAAGCTGACATCACTGTGGGAAAGCGGGAAAATGTCTGAATGTTTTCCAACTTCTTCAGTGTTTTTATTAAAAAAATATTTCTATTGAATTGTTTTTATTATAATTTTAATTAATTTTCTTTTTGTTTTATTATATTTTGTTTTGGTATGATTAATCGTATAAATAATATTTATTGTATTGTATGGCTAGTTATCGGGTGTGGGTGATTTGATTTCACTTATTCTTTACAAAAAATTCTTTTCGAGTAAATGTATATATTGTTATAATTTTCACTTGGTTTTTTTGAGGTTATGTTTTGAACAAATGTTTTTTAAACAGGGATTTTGAATTTTGGTTTTTCGTTTTGTTTTGTTTTTTTTTTTTTATTTAATTAATGCTAATATATTTGAAGAAAAACTTTAAAAAATAAGGAAGAAGTAATATTAATATTCTGAAAAAATTCATTAAATTTGTTTTGTATAAAATATTGTTTTACTAGAACAAAATAAATAAATTAAAGAGTAATTTAAACGAATTAATAAAAATTATTAGAAATTGTTAACTTTTAATAAAAACTTAATAATTCTCTCGTTAGAGTGAATGTGAATTCTTAAGGAGACTTAAACTGTTTAAACTTTCACTTAAATTTTTTATAATATTTAGTAAATATTATGTTAAATATTGTAAAGTAATTCTTTAAAATTATTTGAAAATATATTATTTTATAGAATTATTATTGTTATTGTTTTTTTATAGTATGACTAATAGTTGTTGTTTTAAAAAGCATTAATTAGCTTTAAAATTAAACTTATTTATTAAGAAAATATTTAAAAGTTTTAAAACATTTAATGTTTTTATGACTTTGTTAAAAAAAAACTACTGATCAAGATCTGAATTATAGTCTATAGTCTAGACTAGACAAAGCTACTAAAGTAAATTCTAGACTATAGACTAGACTTTACACTATAGACTAACTGGACTATAGACAAGAGTACAGACTAGACTACAGACTTGACTTTATATTCTAGAGTATAGCTTAGTCTATAATCTAATCTATAGTCTAGTCTATAGTCTAGCCTATAGTATAGTCTATAGTTTAGCGTATAGTCTAGTCCATAGTCTAATCTACATTTTAGTCTACAGTCTAGTCTATAGTTTAGTCTATAATCTAGTCTATTGTCTGATCTATAGCCTAGTCTATTGTCTGGACTATAGCCTGTTCTAAAGTCTAGTCTAAAATCTAGTCTATAGTCTAGTCTACAGACTAGTCTATAGACTAGCCTATAGTGTAGTATATAGTCTAGTCTATAGTCTAGTCTATAGTCTAGTCTATAGTCTAGTTTATAGTCTAGTTTAAAGTCTAGTCTATAGTCTAGTCTATTGTCTAGTCTATAGTCTAGTCTGTAGTCTAGTCTATAGTCTAGTCTATAGTCTAGTCTATAGTCTAGTCTATAATCTAGTCTATAGTCTAGTCTATAGTCTAGTATATAGTCTAGTCTATAGTCTAGTCTATAGTCTAGTCTATAGTCTAGTCTATAGTCTAGTCTATTCTATAGTCTAGTCCATATTCAACTGTATAGTCTAGTCTATAGTCTATTCTATAGTCCAGTCTATAGTCTAGTCTATAGTCTAGTCTATAGTCTAGTCTATAGTCTAGTCTATAGTCTAGTCTATAGTCTAGTCTATAGTCTAGTCTATAGTCTAGTCTATAGTCTAGTCTATAGTCTAGTCTATAGTCTAGTCTATAGTCTAGTATATAGTCTAGTCTATAGTCTAGTCTATAATCTAGTCTATGGTCTAGTCTATAGTCTAGTCTATAGTCTAGTCTATAGTCTAGTCTATAGTCTAGTCTAAAGTCTAGTCTATAGTCTAGTCTATAGTCTAGTCTATAGTCTAGTCTATAGTCTAGTCTATAGTCTAGTCTATAGTCTAGTCTATAGTCTAGTCTATAGTCTAGTCTATAGTCTAGTCTATAGTCTAGTCTATAGTCTAGTCTAGTCTATAGTCTAGTATATAGGCTAGTCTATAGTCTAGTCTATAGTCTAGTCTATAGTCTAGTCTATAGTCTAGTCTATAGTCTAGTCTATAGTCTAGTCTATAGTCTAGTCTATAGTCTAGTCTATAGTCTAGTCTATAGTCTAGTCTATAGTCTAGTCTATAGTCTAGTCTATAGTCTAGTCTATAGTCTAGTCTATAGTCTAGTCTATAGTCTAGTCTATAGTCTAGTCTATAGTCTAGTCTATAGTCTAGTCTATAGTCTAGTCTATAGTCTAGTCTATAGTCTAGTCTATAGTCTGGTATAGTCTATAGTCTAGGCAATATTCAACTGTATAGTCTAGTCTATAATCTATTCTATAGTCCAGTCTATAGTCTAGTCTATAGTGCAGTCTATAGTCTATAGTCTAGTCTATAGTTTAGTCTATTCTATAGTTTAGTCTATTCTATAGTCTAGCCTATAGTCTAGTCCATATTCAACTGTATAGTCTAGTCTATAGTCTAGTCTATAGTCTATTCTATAGTCCAGTCTATAGTCTAGTTTATAGTCTAGTTTATAATCAAGTCTATAGTCTAGTCTATAGTCTAGTCTATAATTTAGTCTATAGTCTAGTCTATAGTCTAGTCTATAGTCTAGTCTATAGTCTAGTCTATAGTCTAGTCTATAGTCTAGTCTAGTCTATAGTCTAGTCTATAGTCTAGTCTATAGTCTAGTCTATAGTCTAGTCTATAGTCTAGTCTATAGTCTAGTCTATAGTCTAGTCTATAGTCTAGTCTATAGTCTAGTCTATAGTCTAGTCTATAGTCTAGTCTATAGTCTAGTCTATAGTCTAGTCTATAGTCTAGTCTATAGTCTAGTCTATAGTCTAGTCTATAGTCTAGTCTATAGTCTAGTCTATAGTCTAGTCTATAGTCTAGTCTATAGTCTAGTCTATAGTCTAGTCTATAGTCTAGTCTATAGTCTAGTCTATAGTCTAGTCTATAGTCTAGTCTATAGTCTAGTCTATAGTCTAGTCTAGTAGTGTATAGTCTAGTCTATAGTCTAGTCTATAGTCTAGTCTATAGTCTAGTCTATAGTCTAGTCTATAGTCTAGTCTATAATCTGGTCTAAAATCTAGTCTATAGTCTGGACTATAGTTTAGTATATAGTCTAGTGTATAGTCTAGCCTAAAGTCTAGTCTATAGTCTAGTCTATAGTCTGGACTATAGTCTAGTCTATAGTCTTGTCTATAGTCTAGTCCGTAGTCTAATCTATAGTTTTATATTAAAAAAATTTAAAAAAACTTAAAAAAAGTTTTTTTTTTTATTAACTTTTATTTCAATTAAATTTAATGTTTTTAATTTCTTATAAATAAAAAATAATAATAAAAAGGCAAATTTTAAAAGTAAACAACATAATAAAACATAATTTTAAAAATTTTCCAAAAAAAATTTTATTTTTCTTTTAACATTTTTAAAACTTTCACCTGAATTTTTATCTCTTATGATTTTTGTATTATTTTACTTCTTTTTAATAGTATTAAAGAATTTTATTTTTGTTTTAAACATTAAATTTTAATTGATTTGTGTTATTTTTATATAAATATGTTTTTTATAATCACGTTAGATAACACACACTCAGAGAGAGAGAGAGAGAGAGAGAAATTAAAAACAGCTTTAAGCTTAAATTTTATTTGTTTTTTGTTTTTAATTTATTTTTAATAAAACTTATTTAATAAAGAAATTTAGTAGTAGACACAATTTTATTTATAATAAAAAGTTATTAAAGTGTTCAAAAAAAACTTTAGCTTGCAAATTTTAACTAAATTCAATTTAGTTTGGGGGAAAAAAACAATAAAAACTAAAAATTTAACAATGTTTGTTTAAAGTAAAATAATAATTTTTTGACTAAAATATGGTTTGTTAAATACCTGTAATTGTTAATTTAAATGTTTTATTAACAATTTAAAGAAAATATTGTTAAATTCTGATTTTTGCTTAATAAAGCTTTAAGCTTTAAAAGTTTTATATAGCTGCTTTAAAATTAAACGGCCCAGCCGAAAATAATTGAAATTTTGTCTGAATAGTTAAAAATTAAATTAAATTTTATAAAATAAAATTGAACTGTTGAATAGGTTTAAAATTTCGGTTTGTGCTTTGCAATTTTGCTTTGTGTTTAAGTTTTTTTTCTTTTAAATAATTTAACAAAAAAGAAATTATTATTAAACTAAAACAACATAAATTTTCAACAATTTAAACCCGATTTTTATAAAAATTATTAGATTATCAAATTTGAATAAGAAAATAAAACAATTACATAATGATTTTCGTAGTCTGGACTATAGCTTGAACAATAGTTTAACCGATAGTCTCGACTATTGACAAGACAATAGTCTAAAGTCTGGACTATAATAGAGCCTATAGATTGAACTTAGTCTAGACTATAGTTTAAACTATAGTCTAACTATAGTTCAGACTATAGTCTGGACTTTAAATTCAACTATACTCTGGACCATATACAAGACTATATACTGGACTATAGACAAGAGTATAGCCTAGAGTCCGAATTATAACTTGAACTTAATGTTGGACTATAGTTTGAACTATACTCTAGATTATAGATCTATGTTCTATAGTCTAGTCCATAATAAAAACTTAAAAAAAAACATATATAAAGAACAACATACTTAAAACTCGAAAAGAAAACTAATTTCACTTAAACATGCTTAAATTATATGAAAAATCCGGAAAAACTCTTTCCCAAGAGATTTTCCCTTCTCATTTGCTTAGTAGCCACATTTTTTGGGGGCATGGCTGAGAGGGTGTACACACAATTTTAAGACATCGAACTACAGGGTAAACGTGGTGAACCCATTTGTGTTAGAACACGATCCAACCATTGTAAAGGACCATTCAAATGCAATTCAATCCAGCAGGGTGTTGAAGTAACTGTCTGACGACGATACTCGGCACCCCAGCCCTTAACGAAAGACATGCGTATGGTGCACATGCGTGTCAATTGATAGACCGCCTCGAAACCTTGAGAAACCGATTGTGAGAGTAGAGCAGCAAATTCCTGATTATTAAAGATTTTCAAATTACAACCGGGTGGAATTTTACAAACAGTAGCCGGATGCCAACCATAACGTTGATTACAATTGGGTGATTGTACAAATATAGAGGAATCGCTGAGACATTCAGCAAATACCTCGCCACCAATGTAATAGAGACGTACCCCCTTGCCTATGTGGCGGCGTGTCTGTTCGACTACATCGTTGCGATTGACATTGGAGAGTAGACCCAAACAAAATCTTTCGGAATTTGAGGGATCGGTGAAACCATCAACTGTTATAGAGGGTTGGGAGGCATGAAAAGTTTCTCCCACTCGTGTATTGAGCTCATAATAAGATATTGAACACCAAAAGGCTGGTTCATGATACATAACGGGTGCTGAGTCGGTAGGTGGTGTCAAGCGTGACATGTTCATGTTGTCATTGGGATCCACCGGATCACCATCTTCACTCATATAGCCGGGTGGCGGGGTACCCGTATTGGGCATACTATTACTGCCCACACTTAAAACACTAGATTGGGAGTCCATGTTGCAGGCTCCCGGTGGTAGATTATTTGTGGTCATTTGTTGTTGTTGCTGCTGCTGTTGCGAAGCACTAGCACTCATATTATTACCACTAAAGAAAGCTGTAGGTGAATGTTGTTGATATTGTTGCGGCTGCAATTGACTTCCACTACTGCCGCCTCCAATTTCCATATACTGCGGCGGACTTAAAGAAGCACTGCGTATAGTGGCAGCATTATATTCGGTATTATTTGGTATCTGATGTGTATGATTATCTAAAGGATAGTCTACTATACTGTCGGGTGGTGTGGGCAATGATTTCGGCACCAATATTGACAATTCCAATTTCTTATAGTGATAGGGATTTATACAGATCTCATCCTTGCGCATATGAAAAGCATATTCACAATGATCCAAAGCTTTTAATTCATTTTGCGATTGCAAATCGGGCCAACGCCACAAACGACAATAGATAACATGCGGCAAACCCTTGCGTAGGTTTTCACCCGAAGCAGTGGGTTTGCTGCGCGGTACCGTTACACACCTGGTATTGGGATTCTGTGTGGATATGGCTCGTTCTAATTCTTCTAATGATGAATTCTTTTTGATTTTCTTCGCTAGATTTTTGACGGCCTTTTCGGACCACTTGCCTTCGACACTGTCTTCGTTACACTTTTTTAATGCCAATAAACGTTTAACAACTTGTGGTGTAAATGGCAACATTTCACGTGGACCCGCCCCCGTCTATAAAAAACAAAATGGACAATTTAAAATTGTTGGCTTGTGCTTCGGTATGCTTTCGTCGAACAGCTATTGTTGGTTTGTATTATGGTTGTTTTTTTTTTTTTTTTGGCAGATTTTTGGTAAAAATTTCTAGTACGTTTTTGTTGTTTTTTGCTAAAAAGCTGCATTAGAAGGGAATATATAGAGTAAAATTATTAAAATATTGTTGAACTTTATACAAATATTTGGAAAGCAATGAAAAAATGAGGATGAAGGGTCGTATGTTTAAATTAATTGGAATTTTTATATAATTCACTGATCAGGAATAAATACTGGATTATAAACAACACTATTAATTGGAATAGAGGCTTATAAATAGCCTAGAGTATAGACTAAACTATAATCCATAAATTAAACTATATTCCAGCCCATAATGGAGACTATAGGTTAAACTATTGCCAAGCATATAGGCAAATATAAAATCAACACTATAGGCTGAACTATTACCCAGACTTCAGACTATTGTCTACTAGGTATAGAGTAAACTGTAGAACAGACTAAAGACTAGACTACAAGGCAGACTATGGACTCAACTATAGACCAGAATATATACCTATGTAGACTATAAACAAATAACTTATCTTTAATCTAAACTATATCCTAAAATATATGTACATATATACTAAACTATAGTCTAGCCTATAGTATAATCTTTATATTCTAAACTATAGACCACAGTATAGCCTAAACTATGGTCCAGACTATACACTAATCAATACTTCAGAATATCGACCAAACTCTAGTCCAGACTGTAGGCTAATCTTTACTATAGACTAAAATATTGATCAGAGTTTAGACTAATCTAAAGTGGAGCCTTATAAAGTGTTTACTAATGAAATTTTGCTTAAATTAGCATTATTGTTTGATATTTGAAGGAATTTCCCTAACTTAAAAAACAAATCCTTTAAAATTCCCATAGTTCCAATAAATTCTTATTAAAATTGATTTGTTTACACTTTTACCCTTAAAAATCGTCAAAATGGCAACTCTATAATTAACCTCAACCTACGTTAAACAAAAACAACATTAGGTTACCATATTCATTATACGTACATACTTGCATACAAACAAACATATATAAACAGACAACAGACAGACAATAACAAAAAAAACAATAACACAAAAAGAGACAAAAAAGGAAAATTGAAACAACAACAATAATAACAACAGACAACAAAAAAATTAACAAATATTTTTATTGTACATAAAATAAACGAAACCAGTGTGGCGTATACTTAACGAAGAGGAAACAAGCAGAAGAACAGTTATAAAAGCCGGTTAGAGTAACAAAACAATAACAAAACATAACAACAACGACAGGGAAAAGATAATTTTTGACAGTTAATGTTTATTTATATTGAGCTTTTTTTGTTTTTTCTCTATTGTAAAAGAAAAAATTGTTGTCTGGGTTAGGTTTTTTTTCTTTTTTCTTTATCTTGACAATACACAAAGAATTATTATTATAAATTACTTAATGAAAATAAAATTTGACCTTTAGCTTTAAAATACACACATTTTCGGGGGTAATTAATAATTTTCGTTAAAGAAATGTGTCGCATGAAATGATTATGGCTAGATAATTTAAGTTATTTTAAAACTTTACTTGCCTTTTTAATAATTTTTATGTTTTATTCGCTTTTTAATGCTTTTTTTTTGTATATGTTGTGGCTGTTTTTTCACTTTTTTTCTCGTTTATTTTTTGTTTTTTTGTATGTTTTGCTATTTGATGTATATTTTTTTTAGTTGCCTCTGCCTCTGTAGCCACCAACCTCCCCTTGTTTGTGTCTGCGGTTACCTTGTCTTGCCCTCTCTTTCTAGCACACTCTCTTTTCTGTATGTTCGTTCTTTTCTTTGTACAATTCTTGTCAGCACTTCACACACAAATTGACACACACAGGGTTTTTTACGATTCTTTTTTCTGATTTTCTTCTTTTTTTACGTTTTTATTGGTCCTTTCTTATTGGATTTTTTAATTTATTTTACACAATTTTGTTTGTTTTTCTTTTGTAATTTGTTAAATTTAATAAAATTTTCTTGTGATTGAATAATAATTTTAGATAAAAATATCTTTATTGGTTAAAAACTGTTATACGAACAAAAATGAAAAATAAAAATAATTGTCGCTCGTATCAGAGACTACAGAGTCAGATTGATAGAGTTGTGTATTAAGTATTGAATAATTGGCTACTGGTTACTCACAAACTTTTGACGATAAGTGAGTATTTGGTAAAAAAAACAAGTACTCATTACATTTTTTATAAAAATAAGAAGAAAATAAAGAAAATTTTTAAATTCTTGAGATTTTGATAAAAATATTTTTATGTTTAAAATATATTTCAGTCCAGAGTATGACCATAAATTAGACGTCGATCTTATCTATAAATTACACTATCGTCTGATCGAATTTGTTTAAAAACTTTCTTTAAAAAATCTAAATATAAAAGTACTCAGTAATCGCAATTATATAAACACTTAACAGCACTGTTTTTATAAAAGAATTGTTTATTTAGCGTTTAATAATTAAGCTCTACTAAAATAGAAAAATTTGAAGTAAAATCAACAAATATTCAAAAAAAAAAATAATAATAATAAATAATTAAAAATTATAGTTAAATAAAAAAATTAACGAACGCAACCCTCTAAAATTGCAAAGAACTTGTTAAATAAATAAAAAAAATAGGCGATTTCTGACAGCCAGAATTAGCAGCACATTTATTAGTCACATTTTATTTTAAGACGGTAATGCAGTTCATAACAAAGAGTGCATATGAATTTTAATAAATTTTATTTACTCCACTTTTTATTGCAATTAACATGAAAATTTTCTAAATAAAAACTAATTTGTAATTACTTTACATATTTTTCACCATTTTGAATTAAATTTCTTCGAAATTTTGCATATTTAGTTGTTTTTTTATAAAGAAACTACAATGTGAAACACCCTGTTATATTTTGTGTGTTTACGCGCCCAATTCAAGTCGCTGCTCTTACTTCAAACAAAAAAATGTTTGCTACAAACACGAGATACGAAAAATACATTGCTGTTTGACAAACCAGGACATCGAACATGTGTATTTTAAATAGGAAGTGCAGTTGATGTCAATTCTGCCGACTGCGAAAAGAAATTCCGCCAAACTGTTTTCTTCTTTTTTTATTTGCAAAAAAAATCTGTTGTGGTGTGTGCAAAAATCTAAAAAGACAGAAATAATATTCTTTAAACAGTTGAAATAAAAATAGTTTTCGTGAGTTGAAAAATAAATCTCGTGAAAATGAGTTGTATAAGGAGAGAAATACATAAAATAGTATTAACGAATACAAAAATGTCCTACTCTTGTTGACAATCTCTTGGGTTCCGTTGAAAATCGTTGAAAATTTCAAAACAACGTAATTGAAAACTTAGCCGGCTTACATTCGTTTTTAAGCCGCCGCCGACATCTTTAGTGTCAGCAGCCGTAGCCGTTAATATTGTCGGCGCAGGTTTCTGGTTCTCTTTAATATGCATTTTTAAATTTTCTGTATGCGCTAGTGAAAAATTATAAGACAAGCCTGAAAATAGTTGTTTAAAATAATATAAAAACGTTTAAATAAACGAAAAAATAAATGTTTAAATAAAATAAAACATATTAATTAAACAATTACTGCAAAAACAATAAAGATTTAAATGTTTCAAGCTATTTTTGAAAGTTCCTCTTAAATTAAAGTAAATTGTTGTACAGCGTTTTAATCGAAAACAAGCCAAACAAAATGTCGGTGGACATAATTGAGAGTATTACTATACCACCACTTAAAAGATTACGCTCCTCTAGCGAGAGCAATACCTCCAAATGTGGTGAGGTATTTGTAACAAATTGTGCCGACAAATGGACATTTTATTGCAGCCATTGTCAATTGTCTACTACAGATATAGGCGTTTTCGTTTGTCACATACGCCTGCAACATTTAAACCAACAACAGCAACAACAAACACCGGCTCAGGAAACTCCACAAAATGATACGCCTATTACAATTGCCTCGTCGCGACAAAATGTTGCGGTCTTGACTCCTACACCGCCACCGCCTATGACCTCCATACCAAGAGATAATTTGATAGTACCGGAAATTGTAACCGCTAAAGAGCCTGAAAATGAACAAATGCAAAGTGATATAGTTAAAGAAGAACCAACTGTATCAATGAATCAATCCAATATGGACTATGAGGCTATTTGTTCAAAAGTTTCGAAAATTGTTGATATTTCTACGTTAACCCAGCCCGAAAGTAATAATGAAACTACAGCAGATGTTCCTAGCGATAAGGTAAATAATATTTTATTTAAGCAGAAATTTGTAAATGGAAATGTTACTGTATAGGAATTTTTAAAGAAATACTAAACCTAGTTTTAAGGATTTAACAAAACCTGTTTACAAAGATTTCTATATAAAGCCGTTGAAAGTAAGACAACAAGGTATAATTAGGCAAAATGTTTATACAAGTTTTAATCAACAACATTTAGAAAATGGTTATAACGAACGTAAGTATAACATCATTTTAATACATTTTTAAAACAAGTCTTCTTTGTTGTTCTAAACAGTTAGACTTAGGTCGATAGTTCTTTCCTTTGGGAAATAACTTTCGGTTGATACAGCTGTCGCTGAGTTGCCAATATTTGACAAAGAAAGACTCGGCAATGATTCAATTGTCAGTCACTTCTAGTGGCAAATAACATTTGCTCTTAAATTATAAATTACTTTTAATAATAAAACTTTATTTACAATTTATTATTTTATTTATTTAAATCAATTTTTAAAATTTTTACCAAAATCTGGGTTTTTAAAATATATTTTTTGCTGCAAATTTTATACTTTTTATTATTTTATTTATAAAAATTTCTATTTTTCATGTTTTTATGTAAAAAATTTAGGTTTTATAACTTTTAGCAAAAAGTAGTATTTCTACTACTATTTGTAAAATGTAGTATTTTAAATGTTTTTATTAAAAAAAATCTAGTTTTAATGTTTTTATTTAAATTGTTTTCTTTCTTTACAACTTTTTTTTTTACTTTTTCTACTACTTTTTGAAAATTTTAACAAATTTCAAAAAATTTATATATTTTAAGTAATTTTTTTCTGGAAATTGAGAAAAAATCTATTTTACAGAATATTTGAGAAAGTAGTATTTTTACAACTTTTTCTTAAAAGTAGTATTTTCAACCATTTTGTTCATAAAAATGTCTCTTAAGACGCTTACTGGTTGAAACTATATTTTTTTAAACAGAAAAAAAAAAATTGTTTTTAGTTACATTTGAAAAAAGTAGTATTTTTACTCCTTTTTGTAAAATGTTAAATTTTAAACAAATTTTGTTTAAAATGGCACTTAATATATTGACAATTAAGAATTGTGTTTTTTAAACGAACAAAACTTGTTTTTAGTAACATTTCAAAAGGTAATATTTCTACTACTTATTTGTAAAATGTAAAGTTCTAAACAAATTTTGCTAAAAATCATATTTTATATGTATTTTTTATTTATTTAAGCAAAACTACAAGTTTTAGAAAAATTTGAAAAGGTAGTATTTCTACTACTTTTTTTAAATAATAAATTTTAAGTGAAATTTTGCCTCTTAAGAAATTTTTCTGCTAATAATTGTGTGTTTTTAATAAAAAAAAATATTTTTTGGAATGTTAAAAAAGTAGTATTTCTACTACTTTTTTGTAAAATGCATTGTTCTACAAATTTTCGTAGAAAATTATGTTTAATATGTTCTTTTTTTATTAATTTAAGTAAAACTACAAATTTAAACAAAATTTAAAAAAGTAGTATTTTACTACTTTTTGTAAAAGGTAGGATTTTCCACCATTTTTTTTTTTAAATTTCTGTTAAGGATTTACTGCTAAGAATTATGTTTTTAAACGAAAAAAAAAAAATGTTTTTAGTGAAAAGTAGTATGTCTACTACTTTTTTGTAAAATGTAACATGTTTTAACAAAATTTGGTTTAAATATAAAAAGTGTTTTTCTTACGGAAAGCTATTTTATTTTAACAGAAATAGAAGTTTTAGCAAGATATAAAAAGTAGTATTTTTACTACTTTTTCTAAAATGTAGTATTTTTAAACAATTTTAGTAAAAAACTTTTTTATGTAATTTTCTGCAAGATTATATTATTTGTTGAAACAAAATTTGATTTTTTAAAAAAGTAGTATTTTTACTACTATTTTACTTTTACCGTAAAAAAAATTATTTTATGTGTTTTTCTATTATAAATTATATTTTTTTAACAAAATTAAAAGTTTTTGTGTGTTTTTAAAAAAGTAGTATTTTTACTACTTTTTGAGTTTTTATTACTTTTGAGTTTTAAAGAAATTTTTATAAAAAACGATTTTTGTAAAAGAAATTATTTAAAGTGTTTTTTCTTTTGAAAATTATGTTTTTTGCTTAAAATTTTACTTTTAGGGGTTTTATTAAAAAGTAGTATTTCTACTACTTTTTTGAAAAGTGTTGTTTTTACAAAAATTGTTTAATTTTTGTTTAAATATTTAATTTAAAAGCATTAAAATGCCTTTTTTAGACTAATTTAATTTTTATAAAAAAACAAATTTTGTGAAAAAAAAATTATTTGAAGTGTTTTTTTCTTTAGAAAATTATGTTTTTTACTTAAAATTTTACTATTAGGGGTTTTATTAAAAAGTAGTATTTCTACTACTTTTTTTAAAAGTGTTGTTTTTACAAAAATTTTTTAATTTTTGTTTAAATATTTAATTTAAAAGCATTAAAATGCCTTTTTTAGACTAATTTAAAAGAGTAGTATTTCTACTACTTTTATTTTAAAATGTATAAAATGTAAATTTTTGTACTTTTTGGCTTAAAATACGTTTATTTTAAATGAGAACACAAGTTTTATTTATTTTTAAAAAGGGTAGTAATTCTTCTACCTTTTCAAACTAAACAAGTTATAATTAGTGTTAAAGTTTTGTTACAAATGCTGCCATATGTTTATTGAACGCTTCTAATCTGTTATGAAATAATTATAAAGTATGTTGCCATGATTTGCCATTTAATATTGAGACAGTTTTAATTTATTTTGTTACCTTTTTAGAATACAACAGCAACAACTGCCGAAGAATTAGATGAAGAATTTGTTGCAGAAACCAGTGAACAAAAAGTTCAAGAACAAGTCATACATGTAGTCTATCAAAATGAAGAGACAATGGATGATGACAAACAGGACACTGAACTAGATAATGAGGATATTGAAAAGGATTATGCAACGGATGCTAGTTTAACAGAAACTGAAGATGAATCAAATGAATATAGTACAAGACAAAGTAGAAATGCAGCTAGTAGTAGTAAAGTTGCAACAGTTGCCAGAAGAAAACCACATCCAAGTAGAGAACTCTTACCGCATAAATGTCCACGTTGCAATCTAGGTTTTAAATCAAAACAAGGTGTACATTTTCACATAACAAAGATACATGACAAAAATCTACACACTCAATTTCCCTATAAATGTAAGGTTTGTAATCGGGGTTTCAAAAGTATGCAGGGCCTGAAATATCATAATGTCAATCATGATGACCAAAGAAAAGAGTACAAGTGTTCCATTTGTCCGGGTAAATTCTATAAACTGAATAGTTTCATAACCCATGTGTTATCACACGAAAACGAAACGCGTTTTCCTTGTCAGGTATGTGGTAAAGTCTTCCCCAGCAATGAGGAACGTGTAAAACATTGGAAGAAGCATGCCAAAGATAAACCATTTGGTTGTATAATTTGCTATCGTCGTTTTCCACGACAGCAATATCTAACGCATCACCTCAAGTCACACAATCTGTATCAGTGTCATTTTTGTCCAGATGAATTTACCTCAAAACAAACTCAACATATACCCTATGTGTGTCCCAAGTGTGAACAGTTGCCCGATATAAAACAGAAAGTAGAACATTTAAGAACATTGTCCAGTAAGAATCATGTTTTTGAATCGGATGAGGAGTCAAATTAAAGTAATATTATTGTAAGTTTTTCCATACATTTAATAAAAAATTTTGCCAAAAAAAGATATATTAAAAGAAAATTTTATTTTATTTTTTTTTTTAAGTTTTCATATTTACACATCAAACAGTAAAAATTATGCTACTTTTTTCAAAAAAGTAGTATTTCCCCTACTTTTTTGAACAAAAAGTGTGTTTTAAATCATTTTCTTTTACTAACAAAACGTTTTTTGAAAAAATTTTCAAGTTTTAGTAAAATTTAAAAAAGTAGTATTTTTTTACTACTATTTGCAATTTAAAGAAATTTTGATAAAATATCGATTTATAAGTAGTTTTTCTTTCAGAAATTGTTTTTTATACACAAAAATTCAAGTTTTAGTGTTTTTTAAAAAAGTAGTATTTTTACTACTTTTTAAAACATGCAAGATTTTAAAACAATTTTTGTAAAACATACTATTTTAAGTGTTATTCTGCTTAAAATTATAGTTTTTTAAACAAAAACATAAGATTTAGTGAAATTTAAAAAAGTAGTATTTTTGCTACTTTTTCAAAAAACCAGGATTTGAAAACAATTTTCATAAACGTATAATTTCAAGAGTTCTTTTTTTTTTAAATTTTAGTTTTCAAGCAAAAATACAAGTTTTCGAGAAATTTAAAAAAGTAGTATTTTTACTACTTTTTAAAACATGCAAGATTTTAAAGTAATTTTTGTAAAACATACTATTTTAAGTGTTATTTTCCATAAAAATATAGTTTTTTGTACAAAAATATAAATGTTGGTGAAATTTTAAAAAAGTAGTATTTTTGCTACTTTTTCAAAAATATTGTGTTTTGAAACAATTTATGTCAAAAATTAGTATTTTAAGTGATATTGTGCTAAAATTATTGTTATTATAAACAAATTTATATGTTTTAATGACATTTAATAAAGTAGTATTTTTACTACTTATTGTAAAATGTAGTTTTTAGCAGTTTTTATAAAAAATCTTATTTCTAGTGATTTTTCGCTACTAATTAAAGATTATTATATCAAAATATAAGTTTTAGTGAAATTTTACAAAAGTAGTATTTTTATTACTTTTTCAAAAATGCGATATTTTGAAACAATTTATTTAAAAAAATGGTATTTTAAGTGATTTTGTGTTAAAATTACTGTTATTCCAAACAAAATTGTAAGTTTTAGTGAAAAATAAAAGTTTTTGAGAAGTTTAAAAAAGTAGTATTTTTACTCCTTTTTAAAAATGCGTTACTTTGAAATAATTTATGTCTAAAATGGCATTTTAAGTGATTTTGTGCTTAAATTAGCAGTAATTCTAAACAAAATTATAAATTTTAGTGAGATTTAAAAAAGTAGTATTTTTACTACTTTTTGTAAAATGTAGTTTTTTTCAAGTAAATTTTGAAAAAAATCTTACATCTAGTAGTGTGATATTATTAATAAAAGCTTTTTATATGAAAATACAAGTTACAATACAATATGAAAAAAGTAGTATTTTTACTATATTTTCAAAAATGCAGGTTTTATGTAAAAAATTATATTTTTAGTAATTTTCTACTAAAAATTTAAGATTTTTAAACAAATATACAAGTTTTAGTGAAATTGAAAAATGTAGTATATTTACTACTTTTTGTAAAATGCAGTACTTTGAAGCAATTTTTGTAAAAAATCGTACTTTGAGTGCTTTTCTACATAAAATTATAATTTATATAATATTTTTTATAATAAAACTATAAGTTTTAGTGAAATTTAAAAAAGTAGTATTTTTACTACTTTTTAAAAATGCGACATTTCAAGCAATTTTTGTAAAAATCTTATTTCTAGTAATTTTGCGCTATTAATTTGAGATTTAAAAAAAAAAGTTTTCGAGGAATTTAAAAAAGTAGTATTTCTACTACTATTTGAAAAAGGTAGTTTTTCAACAAATTGTTGTAAAAAAAAGAATTTTACTTAGAAATTCAACAAAAATACAAGTTTTAGTGAAATTGAAAAATGTAGTATATTTACTACTTTTTGTAAAATGCAGTACTTTGAAGCAATTTTTGTAAAAAATCGTACTTTGAGTGCTTTTCTACATAAAATTATAATTTATATAATATTTTTTATAATAAAACTATAAGTTTTAGTGAAATTTAAAAAAGTAGTATTTTTACTACTTTTTAAAAATACGACATTTCAAGCAATTTTTGTAAAAAAATCTTATTTCTAGTAATTTTGCGCTATTAATTTGAGATTTTTTTAAAAAAAAAAGTTTTCGAGAAATTTAAAAAAGTAGTATTTCTACTACTATTTGAAAAAGGTAGTTTTTCAACAAATTGTTGTAAAAAAAAAAGAATTTTACTTAGAAATTCAATATTTTTAAAGTAAACTAACACATTTTAGCAAAATTTAAAATAGTAGTATTTTTTACTACTTTTTTTAAAGATGTGTTTTTTTCCCAAATTTGTGTATAAATGACATTTTTATTATAAAAAAAAATTAATTTTGAACTTAATTTCGAATAGTTTTTTAGGTTTAAGTTCGTATTTGAACAATTTTTTTATTTTTCAGGATTTTTTTACAATAACTGAAATTAAACAAGAAGAAACTCAAGTAATCTTGAGTTTCAAAAACGAAAATAATGAAAATGACAGCGATAAAGAGGACAAAGAAGAGTTCAAACCTATTGCTGACATTGAAGAAGGAGATGGCTATTATTTTGAAGAGGTAAGAAAAGGAGGATTTAAAGAGAATTTTTGTTTTAGAATAATAAAAATACTAACCTTCTAGGAGTCAAATGACAGCAGCGAAAGAAATTTGAATGCGGAACTTGTGGCTGATCAAGACCTTAAACCCAGTACTAGCAGTAAAATTCAAGCAACAAGCAAAAGCCGACCTTTACACAAAAAGTATAAATGTCTTTATTGCGATAAACTTTATAATTCAAAGCGGGGCTTAAATTATCACCTGAAACGTAGTCATTTTGACAATATCCAAGAACGTACTGCTCCCTATAAATGTTCCCATTGCCCTCAGACCTTTCAAACAAAAACCATATTAACTTTTCATCAAAAAACTCACAACAATGAAAGATATAAATTTAATTGTACCGTTTGCTCTTTAACTGGTTTCAAGGAAAACGAATTCATTGCACATGTTCTACTGCACGAAAGTGAGACTTGCTATCCGTGTCAGGTTTGCGGCAAAATTGCCTCTAGCCAGGAGCAACGTATGAAACATTGGCAAACTCATGCCAAAGAGAAACCATACTATTGTCGACATTGCTATAAACGTTTTACCAAACAGTATTTTCTAATGCATCATCTAAAGATACATGAAGAGGTCTAAAAACTTGTAAAATTCGCCGTGAAATAAAATGGGCGGCGAATTGGGAAAGTCGTTCGTTTATATTATTACAGTTTAAAACTTAATTATTATGTTTTAAAATCAATAAAACTTGCTTTAAAACTATTAAAAAAAAATAGTTTTATTTTGTTTATGAAATTTTCTTAAAAAAGTAAATTTCGAAATCAAGTTCGAATTTTCGAAATTAGCTCAAAATGTCTTTAATAAACCCAAAAACCAATAAAAAAATGTAAAAATCATTAGAAAATTAAGTTTTGGCTAATTTTCTATTAAAAAGTGAATTTCGAAATTATATTCGAATTTTCGAAATTAGTGCAAAATCCTCTAATTGAGAGGAAAACTCGTAAAAAATTATAAAAAAACATTCAAAAATTAAATTTTAGGTCATTTTCGGTTAAAAAGTGAATTTCGAAATTAAGTTCGAATTTTCGAAATTAGCACAAAACTCCCTTAATAAGCCCAAAAACCCATAAGAAACTATAAAAATCGTTAAAAAATTAAATTTTAGGTAATTTTCTATAAAAAAGTGAATTTCGAAATTATGTTCGAATTTTCGAAATTAAGTTCGAATTTTAGAAATTAGTGCAAAATCCTCTAATTGAAAGGAAAACTCATAAAAAATTCAAAAAAAGATTCAAAAATTAAATTTTAGGTCATTTTCGGTTGAAAAGTGAATTTCGAAATTAAGTTCGAATTTTAGAAATTAACTCAAAATGCCCCTAATAAGCCCGAAAACTTCTAAAAATTCATAAAAATCATTCAACAATTAAATTTTCTGTAATTTTCTATAAAAAAGTGAATTTCGAAATTAAGTTCGAATTTTCGAAATTACCTCAAAACCCCCTCATAAGTTCAAAATCTCATAAAAACTATAAAAATTATATAAAAATAAAAATTTTAAACCATTTTGTGTAAAAAATTAAATTTCGAAATTAAGTTCGAATTTTCGAAATTAGCACAAATGTCTCTAATTACTTATAAAAATCTTTAGAAATCATTCAAAAATCTAATTTTAAGCCATTTTGCGTAAAAAATGTGAATTTCGAAATTAAGTTCGAATTTTCGAAATTAGCACAAAACCCTCTTTTAAACTCGAAAACATTTAAAAAACTATAAAAATCATAAAAAAATCAAATTTAAGACTATTTTCTGTAAAAAAGTGAATTTCGAAATTAAGTTCGAATTTTCGAAATTAGCACAAAACTCCCTTTATAAGCCCAAAAACAGATAAAAAACTATAAAAATCGTTCAAAAATAAAATTTTAGGTCATTTTCTATAAAAAAGTTAATTTCGAAATTAAGTTCGAATTTTCGAAATTACCTCAAAACCCCCTCATAAGTTCAAAATCTCATAAAAACTATAAAAATTATATAAAAATAAAAATTTTAAACCACTTTGTGTAAAAAATTAAATTTCGAAATTAAGTTCGAATTTTCGAAATAAGCACAAATGCCTCTAATTACTTGGAAAGCTTATAAAAATCTTTAGAAATCATTCAAAAATCAAATTTTAAGCCATTTTGTGTAAAAAATGTGAATTTCGAAATAAAGTTCGAATTTTCGAAATTAGCACAAACCCCTCTTTTAAACTCGAAAACATTTAAAAAACTATAAAAAAATTAAATTTAAGACTATTTTCTATAAAAAAAGTAAATTTCGAAATTAAGTTCGAATTTTCGAAATTAAGTTCGACTTTTCGAAATTACTACAAAAGTCTCTAAATAGCGGGAAAACTTATTAAAAGCTTTCAAAATTACAAAATATTAAAATTCTAAGTCAATTTCCATAAAAAACTAAATTTCGAAATTAAATTCGAATTTTCGAAATTAAGTTCAAATTTTCGAAAATGTCTAAAAATTATAAAATTTGCATATTTTGCAGCTAAAATCATTAGAAATACATAAAAGATAACATTTAAATTAATTTTATGCTAAAAACTCAATTTCGAAATTAATTTCAAATTTTCGAAATAAAATTCGAATTTTCAAAATTAGCACAATTTAGGAATTTAGAAAAAATTTAGTTTTTTTTAATTTTTCAATAAAATTTCAAGAAATTATCATAAATTGGTGGTTTTCCGTTAAAATTTCATAATTCCTAAACTGGAATTAAAAATCCCCACTTTTTGAGAATTCAGAAAAATTAGTTTTTTGGGTAAATTTTTAAAGTATTTTCATTAAATTGTTAAAAATTAATAATTTTCGCGTGAATATTTTTGGGAAATTTGAAATCCCGAAATGCTTATATAAATACCCACAATTGGGGAATTTAATAAAAAGTGGATTTTTTGTAATCTATTTATATTATTTCTAAAAATTATAATAAATTTTTAGTTTTCTGTAATAAATTCGGAATTCCTAAACTGGGATTTAAAATCCCCACTTTTTGGGAATTTAGAAAAAAGTGTATTTTTTGTAACTTTTTTTTTTCAAGAATTTATAATAAAATGGTCGTTTTCTGTTAAAATTTCCAAATGTGTAAAATGGGATTTCAAATCCCCACTTTTTGGGAATTTGTAAAAAGTTTATTTTATGTATTTTATTAACATAGTTTAAACAAATTATTACAAATTTATGTTTTTTAACAAAATTTCTGAATTCCTAAACTGGTACTTAAAATCCCCACTTTTTGGGAAATTATTAAAAGGTTAATTTTTTGTATTTTATTAACATAGTTTGAACAAATTATTATAAATTTATGATTTTCTGTAAAAATTTCGGAATTCCTAAACTGGGATTTAAAATCACCACTTTTTGGGAATTTGTAAAAAGTTTATTTTTTGTATTTTATTAACACAATTTCAACAAATTATTATAAATTTATGGTTTTTATAACAAAATGTCTCAATTCCTAAACTGGGATTTAAAATCCCCACTTTTGGGGAATTTAGAAAAAAGTAAATTTTTGATCATTTATTAATATATTTCAAAGAAAATATAAAAAATTCGAGTTTTTTGTTTAATATTTTGAATTCCTAAACTGGGATTTAAAATCCCAACTTTTGGGAATATGTTAAAAAGTAAATTTTTTGCAATTTATTAATATAGTTTCAAGAAATTATAATAAATTGTTAATTTTCTGTTAAGATTCTTGAATTCCTAAAATAGGATTTAAAATCCCCACTTTTGGGAATTGCAAAAAAAGTGAATCTGTTTAATTATTTAAGATTTTGTATAAAAAAATCTTTAAAATAAGTTTTACTGTATTATTTTTGCTAAATTTTAGATCCCCATTGTAAAAAATGAAGCTTTAGGGGATCAGCTGGTAATAGAACAACAAAAACCACAAGAAAACATACAAATTTTTTATATAAGAGATGTAGACGAAAACAATGATGAAGAAGGGGGGAAGATTACACTAACTACTGATGAAGAAGATGAAGACGAAGATGAGGACGGGGAAAATGATGAATACGAGGATATTGACAATATCTTAACGGAGGATCAAATTACAAGTTTAAAATGTACATATTGCTATAAACTTTTTGATGATAAAACCACTGTCCTTAATCACATAAAAACCCATCATTTGATAGATAATGTCAAAAATTATCCCTACAGTTGTCATATCTGTAAAAAAGGTTTCAAAAGTAAAAACGGTATAAAGGGCCACTCCAGATTACATGAGACAAACAATCAATTACAATGTCCTATCTGTCCGTCAACACTGGATAGAACATATTTTGTGACACACGTTGTAATGCACGAAAGTGAAACATGTTTTCCTTGCCAGGTTTGTGGTGAAATCTATGACAGCCATGAGAAACGTCTTAATCATTGGCATACTCATGTAAAGGAACAACCATACGGCTGTAATTATTGTTTTCGTCGTTATAAGAAAGAGAAATATCTCTTTAAACATCTCGAATGTCACAAGCCCCTGGAGTGTTGTTTCTGTAAGAAAGAATACTATTCAGCTGATACACAACCACGTCCTCCCTTCATTTGCCGGAGTTGTATTAATAAGCCGGGCATGAAGGAAAGCGCCAAAAAATTGAGGTCAAAATATCGTCAAACGTCAAAGGTAAGTGGAGCTGTTTACCAAAGTTTTAACTAAAATAAAGTTTACTCTTAATTGGCGTTTGGTGGTGTTTTTAGGAAAACTCTATAAATCTCGCGGAGGATGAGAATGACTCGCAAGAAGATGATTCAGATGTGGAATTTGTGGAGGATGAAAATAAGCCTAGCAGCAGTGCTTCATTGTATCATAAGGTATTTATAATATTTAATTTGTTAATTTTGTATAAAATTTCCTTAAAAAAACTGAATTCCCAAACTGTTTTTAAAAAATCCCCATTTTGGGAATTTAGTAAAAAATTCAATTTTTTGTATTAAACTACCTAATATTATTAATTATAAAGAAATTAAACATTTTTTATTAAAATTTCCCTAAAAAACTGAATTCCCAAATTGTTTAATAAAATCCCCACTTTTTGGAAATTTTGCTGAAAGTAAATTTTTTGAAAATTTTCAATATAATTTCTTGAAATTAGAACAAATTAGTAATTTTCCATGAAAATTTCTGAATTCCTAAACTGGGATTTAAAATCCCCATTTTGGGAATTTGTAAAAAGTTAGATTTTTTGTAATTTTTGTATATAATTTCCTTCAAATATACAAAATGAATCGTTTTCTGTTAAAAATTTCCTAAAAACTAAATTCCCAAACTGGGCATCAATAATCCCCATTTTGGGAATTTGTAAAATGGTAATTTGTAAAATGGTAATTTTTTTAAATTTTCCTATAAAATATAACAAATTAAGCATTATCTGTTAGAAATTCTTAAAAATATTGAATTCCCAAACTATTTTGAAAAAATCCCCATTTTGGGAATTTGAAAAAAAGTTTGTTTATTGTAATTTTTTTAATAAAATGTTTCTCAAATATAACAAATTAAGCAGTTTCTGTTAAAAATTCCGCAAAATATTGAATTCCCAAACTATTTAAAAATCCCCACTTTGGGAATTTTTAAAAAAGTTTTTTTTTTGTCATTTTCTTATAAAATTTTCCTTAAATATAACAAATTAAGCACTTTCTGTTAAAATTTCCGTAAAATTTTGAATTTTAAAAAGATTTAACAAAACCCCAATTTTCCCCAGTTTTTTTTTAAATTTTTAAAAATTTTTAATACAGAATGTTAAACTTGTTTTATTTAAAATAAATTATGTTATACAATTTTGAAAAATCTGTTTTTTTAGAATTCCCAAAATGGGGATTTTTTATAACCCTTTTGGGAATTTAGTTTTTTAAGGAATTTTTTAATTAAAATTAATTAATTTGTAAAAATTTAAAGAAATTTCGTTGGTAAAATTCTCATTTTTAACAAATTTTAAAAGAGGAAATTTTTTAATCCCGTTTGGGAATTCATTTTTTTTTTAATTTTTACCAAGATATTGTTAATTGGTTAAAACTTAAGGAATTAAGTAAAAATTTAAAAAATATTGAGTTTTAATGAATTCCCAAAAAGTGGGGATTTTTTAATCCCAGTTTGGGAATTAAATTTTCTAAAGAATTTTTAGTCAAAAATAAATACTTTGTGGCAATTTAAAGAAATTGTGTCAAAAATTAAAAAATATTGACTTTTTCCACAAGTGGGGATTTTTTATACCAATTTGGGAATTTTTTTTTTTTTGTAAAGAGTTTTCAGCAAAAAAAAGAAAAAAAAAATTCTAATAAATATTTTTATATTTTTTAGGAAATCTCTGCAACCCGAGAAGACAATACCAGCAAAACTTTAAATAACCCTAGCGAGCCCCTTCCATTCGAGAGCGTTACATTTTGTGACTCAGATACTCAAAATATTGATGGAGACTCTGACGAATCAACAGATTCTGATGTAGAATTTGTTAATATATTACATAAACCTGATGCATCAAAACCCGCAAATAGAGGCCGTCGTGAATATAAGTGCTGCGGTAGAAATTTCCATAACAATAGAAATCTAAATGCACATATCTCAAGAGAACATGGGCCCAATAAGAAAAGTTTTAAATATAAATGTCAATATTGTAAGAAATCTTTTCAAACTAGATCGGGTAAAGTTTTTCACGAACGGACTCATGATAAAAACAACAAATTTCAATGTCCCCTTTGTCCTAATGCAGAATTCCGAGAGAATATCTTCTTATCGCATGTTATGTTACATGAAAGTGATACATGTTATCCGTGTCAGGTTTGTGCCCAGATTTTCAAGACTTCCGAAGAACGTCTTGAACATTGGCACACACATGCCGAGGAGAAACCGTGTGCATGTGAAATTTGTCATCGTCGTTTTAGGAAACCCTTTATATTAAGAAATCATATGCGTATACATGGCTTTTACGAGTGTCAATTCTGCGGGGATAATTTCGAATCATCGCAAACTCTACGGCATCCCTATGTTTGTGGTAAATGTGAAAAAATTCCCGAAATTAAGAAGACTGTGGAGCATCAAAGAACTTTGGCGGATAATAAGCGTGTTTTTGAATCGGATGAAGAGGAATAGAGGCAGACATTGTCAAAAATAACAACTTTTTAAGAAATTCCCAAAATAGGGATTTTCCATAAACAATTTGGGAATTCGAAATTTTTCTAAAAATGTTTAATTTATTACATTTTAATGAATATACATTAATAAAAATACAAAAATTACCATTTTTTTAATAAAATTCGTAAATGGGGATTTTTAAAATCCCTTTTGGGAATTAAAATTTTTAATGAATTTTCAGCAAAAAAATAATTAATTTGCTATATATAAAAGTTATTAGAAAGTAAAATGTCGAAAAATCTACTTTTTAGCAAATTCCTAAAAACGGGACTTTTAAAATCCCTTTTGGGAATTAAAATTTTTAATGCTTTTCCAGCGAAAAATAATTAATTTGTTATATTTGAAGTTTCTTAAAATGTAAAATGGCAAAAAATCTACTTTTTAACAAATTCCCAAAATGGGGATTTTAAAATTCCTTTTGGGAATTAAAATTTTTAATGCTTTTTCAGCGAAAAATAATTAATTTATTATATTTGAAGTTTCTTAAAATGTAAAATGGCAAAAAATCTATCTTTTAACAAATTCCCAAAATTGGGGATTTTTAAAATCTCTTTTGGGAATAAACATTTTTAATGCATTTTCAGCAAAAAATAATTGATTTGTTATATTTGAAGTTTCTTAAAAGGTAAAATGGCGAAAAATCTACTTTCAACAAATTTCCAAAATTGGGGATTTTAAAAATCCCTTTTGGGAATTCAATATTTTTCGGAATTTTTAACAGAAAATGTTTAATTGGATATATTTGAAGGTTATTAAAAGGTAAAATGGCAAAAAATCTATCTTTTAACAAATTCCCAAAATGGGGGATTTTTAAAATCTCTTTTGGGAATTTGAATTTTTAATAAATTTTCAGCAAAAAATAATTAATTTGTTATATTTAAGATTATTAAAAGCTAAAATGGCAAAAAATCTACTTTTTAACAAATTCCCAAAATGGGGGATTTTTAAAATCCCTTTTGGGAATTAAAATTTTTAATGCTTTTTCAGCGAAAAATAATTAATTTGTTATATTTGAAGTTTCTTAAAATGTAAAATGGCAAAAAATCTACTTTTTAACATATTCCCAAAATGGGGATTTTAAAATCCCTTTTGGGAATTTGAATTTTTAATAAATTTTCAGCAAAAAATAATTAATTTGTTATATTTGAAGTTTCTTAAAAGGTAAAATGACAAAAAATCTACTTTCAACAAATTTCCAAAATTGGGTATTTTTAAAATCCCTTTTAGGAATTCAATATTTTTCGGAATTTTTAACAGAAAATGTTTAATTGGATATATTTGAAGGTTATTAAAAGCCAAAATGGCAAAAAATCTACTTTCTAACAAATTCCCAAAATGGGGGATTTTTAAAATCCCTTTTGGGGATTAAAATTTTTAATAATTTTTCAGCAAAAAATAATTAATTTGTTATATTTGAAGGTTATTAAAAGCTAAAATGGCAAAAAATCTTCTTTTTAAAAAATTCCTAAAAAGGGAATTTTTAAAATCTCTTTTGGGAATTTGAATTTTTAATGAATTTTCAACTGAAAATTTTGTATAAATTATTAAATTTACGTTAATAAAAATGTACTTTTTAATAAAATCCAAAATTTTTGTAATTTTCTCTAAAAAAAAATCCTTAAAATAAGTTTTACTGTATTATTTTTGCAAAATTTTAGAACCCCCTTGTAAAAAATGAAGCTTTTGGGGAACAGATAATAATGGAACAACAAAAATCACAAGAAAACATACAATATTTTGTTATAACAGACGTGGTAGAGAACAACAACGATAAAGAAGGGGAAAAGATAACACTAACTAGTGATGAAGAAGATGGAGACGAAGATGATGATGATAACGATAACGATGGATACGAGGATAATGATGATGACAATATTTTAACAGAAGAGCATATTACAAGCTTAAAATGTACATATTGCTATAAACTTTTTGATGATAAGACCACGGTCCTTAATCACATAAAAACCCATCACTTGATGAATAATATCCGAAATTATCCCTACAGTTGTCTTATCTGTAAAAAAGGTTTCAAAAGTAAAAACGGCTTAAAGGGTCACTCCAGTTCACATGAGGGAAACAATCAATTGCAATGTCCCGTCTGTCTGTCAAAATTTTATAAACCCTATTTTGTGACACACGTTCTGATACACGAAAGTGAAACGTGTTTTCCTTGCCAGGTTTGTGGCGAAATCTATGACAGCCACGAAAAGCGTCTTGATCATTGGCATACTCATGAAAAGGATCAACCATATGGTTGTAATTATTGTTTTCGTCGTTATAAGAAAGAGAAATATCTCATTAAACATCTCAAAGTGCACAAGGCTGTAAAGTGCAGCAGCTGTAAGACAGGATTCCATGCAACTGATACACGTCCTCCCTTCTTTTGTCGGAGTTGTATGAAGGAACGCATCAAAGAATTGCAGGCAAAATATCGTCAAACGGCAGAAGTAAGTTGAGTTTTTAATCAACGTTTTAACTAAAATAAAATTTACTCTTGATTGGGGGGGATGGCTTGCGTTTTTTTTTTTAGGAAATCTCTATTAATCTCGAGGAGGATGACTCTCAAGAAGATGATTCAGATGTGGAATTTATAACGGATGAAAATAAGCCTCGTAGCAGTGGTTCTTTGTATAAGAAGGTATTTTGTACTATTAAATTACTAAAATTTCCCTAAAAACTAAATTCCTAAAATGGGCATGAACATCCCCACTTTATGGGAATTTGTCAAAAAGCTAAATTTTGATTTATTTTGCAACACAATTTTATTAAGATTCAAGAAATTAAACATTTTTTATTAAAATTTCCCCAAAAAAAAACTGGATTCCCAAATTGTTTTAAAAAAATCCCCACTTTTTGGGAATTTGTCAAAAAGCTAAATTTTGATTTATTTTGCAACACAATTTTATTAAGATTCAAGAAATTAAACATTTTTTATTAAAATTTCCCCAAAAATATTGAATTCCCAAATTGTTTTAAAAAAATCCCCACTTTTTGGGAATTTGTCAAAAAGCCAAATTTTTATTTATTTTGCAATACAATTTTATTAAATTTCAAGAAATTAAACATTTTTTATTAAAATTTCCCCAAAAATACTGAATTCCCAAATTGTTTTAAAAAATCCCCATTTTTTTGGGAATTCAAAAAAATGTACTTTATTGCAATTTTTAAATATAATTTCTTGAAATTATAATAGATTAGTAGTTTTCCGTTAAAATTTCTGAATTCCTAAACTGGAAAAAACTGAATTCCCAAATGGTTTAAAAAAATCCCCACTTTATGGGAATTGGTCAAAAAGATGTTTTTTTTGTAATTAAACTGCATAATTTTATTTAAATTAAAGAAATTAACATTTTTTAATAAAATTTCCCTAAAAAACAGAATTCCCAAATTGTTTGATAAAATACCCACTTTTTAGGAATTGACAAAAATATATTTTTTTTTTTGCGATAAAACATGACAGTTTTATTGAAATTAAAAAACTAAATTTTTTTTATTAAAATTTCCCTAAAAAACTGAATTACCAAATTGTCTTATAAAATCCCCACTTTTTGGGAATTTCAAAAAAATGCATTTTTTGTAATTTATGAGTTTAATTTCTTGAAATTATAAGAAATAAGTAGTTTTACATTAAAATTTTTTATAAATATTTCAGAAAATCTTAAAAATATTTACTTTTTATGAATTCCCAAAATGGAATTTTTTTATCCCAGTTTGGGAATTCAAATTTCTAAAGAATTTTTGCCAATTTTGTTGCAATTTAAAGGAATTGTGTAAAAAATAGTACAAATTTAGACTTTTTATGAATTCCCAAAATGGGTATTTTTTTATCCCAATTTGGGAATTTAGTTTTTTAAGAGTTTTCAACATAAAATGTTCAAATTAATAATAAAAATAATTTTAATAAATATTTTACATATTTTTAGAAACTCCCGGCAATCCCAGAAGTCTCAGACACACAAACTACTGATGAAGACTCTGACGTATCAACAGATTCTGATGTAGAATTTGTAGATGCATTACATAAACCTGACGATTCAAATCCCTCAAGAGCCGCTGGTGACTATATGTGTTGCGGTAAAAATTTTCATAACGATAGAAATCTAAATGCTCATATCGCTCGAATGCATAAACGCAATAAGAAGAAGAAACGCCGTAAACATAAATGTCACCTTTGTAAGAAATCTTTTAAAATTAGATCGAGTCTAGTATATCATATACGGACTCATGATATAAATAACCAATTTGAATGTCCCATCTGTCCTTATGCCGAATTCCGTGAAAGTGAATTCTTAGCTCATGTTAAATCGCATGAAAGTCCAACTTGTTATCCTTGTCAGGTTTGTGCCGAAATTTTCCACACACAAGAAGAACGTCTTGAACATTGGCACACCCATGCCGAGGAGAAACCGTGTGCTTGTCACATTTGTTATCGTCGTTTTACGAAAACATTTATATTGACAAATCATATGCGTGTACATGGCATTTACATGTGTCAATTCTGTGGGGATAATTTCGAATCAACGGTAACTCCAGGGCATCCCTATGTTTGTGGCAAGTGTGAAGAAGATCCCGAAATTAAGAAGACCGTGGAGCATCAAAGAACTTTGCCGAGTAATAAGCGTGTTTTGGATAGTATAAAAAAGAATAGAAAAACTTAAACAATTTGGGAATTTAAAATTTTTCTGTAATTGTTTAAATTATTACATTTTAATAAATATAATATAATAAAAGACAAAAATAAAATTTTTTCTTAATTAATTCCAATAATGGGGATTTTTAAAATCACTTTTGGGAATTTACATTTTTTAAGGAATTTTCAGCAAAACTCTTAATTTGTTATAGTTAAAGGTTATTAAAAGGTAAAATTGACAAAAAACTACTTTTTAACAAATTCCCAAAATGGGGATTTTTAAAATCACTTTTGGGAATTTACATTTTTTTAAGGAATTTTCAGCAAAACTCTTAATTTGTTATATTTAAAGGTTATAAAAAGGTAAAATTGACAAAAAACTACTTTTTAATAAATTCCCAAAATGGGGATTTTTTAAAATCCCTTTTGGGCGTTAAAATTTTTAATGAATTT